GGAGGAGGAGTGCTGCTCTCCAGGCTGCAGCAGGCTTTTATGATTTGTGAACCGCAGCTGCGTCAAGCATCCCAAAGTCAGGCCCCAAAAAAAGCCCTGCAGTGACCTGCATTTGTAGGCTTCCAAACAGCCCCAAAGTGGAAGTGACTTCCGAGCATCTCCCCTATGCCCATGGGGCTGCAGTGTCACCCTGCAAATGGGAAAGAGCTAGGACAACCCTATCACGGGATAAGGCTTAGCACAATTTGGCTCTTCAAAGCCCAGCGTCCCAGACAAAGCCCCCACGGGTAATGGGCGGATGCTGCACCCAGCCGGGGGTTTCTATAGCGCAGGACCTGCTCCTTGGTCAGCATCCCCCTGTGAGCTGCATCCCTCCGCTCTCCTCCTCCCCGTTGCCCAGATCTCCCTCACTCCTGCCCAGCTTTGCACATCCCAGGTGGAAAGGCTGGGGCAGGGGGGCTTTTGGAGCTGGAAGAGCATCTAACCCCGTGCAGTACTCCCCAAATCAGCATCTCCCCCGCTGGGGGGGCTGCACAGGGCCGGGCAGCCTCGGGGCTCCCAGGATCAGACCTCAGGCCAGCAGTATTCGCCCACAGCTGCATCATGTCTCACTGCAAGCTCATTCCCTTTCCTGTTCAGAGAACAGTTGCTCCCGCAGCACGGCGAGCTGTGTCCAGTCTCTGCACCGGGTGCTCGGGCTGGGCTGGGCTGGGCAGGGCAGCTCATTAGAAACTGCTTTTAAAAGCTTTTCTCAGGTAGCCTTTCTGGTGTGGTTTACTTTCTCATGCAAACTAGTACAAAGAGTTTGTTGCAGGGTCAGAAAAAGCCTCATGGCAAGGAGAAAAACCCCAAGCAGCCAAAGCTGAAACCAAACTCTGCTTTCTGAATGCTGGAAAGTTTCACTGCAATAGTTCAACTGGGCCATTAAGAAGGAGTAATTTTGAAAAAATATATATGTATATTTAAGAAAACGCTGCAAACCTGGGAAAAAGTATTCTGTTCATAACACTTTAACTTGCTCTAGGAGCCACGGGAGGGTAGTGAGTGAGATCTAAGTCGAAGTTTCTTTTCCGCCTCTGGAAAACGTAATTCTCTTTATATTAGCCTTTGATTACAAAAATACTTTAGGAGAAAATAACTCAGAATTGTTATTTGGGAATAAGTATTTCCCACCAGCCCAGAGGGAAGGGGAAGGAGGAGGTGAGTTGCAAGGGGAACGTGTGCAAGCCGGTGAGCTGGGACATGGCTGTCAGGGCGCTGCCGGGGGGTGTTCAGCCCCTCACCGCAGCTTTGACTCTCTCCCTCTATACCTGGGATTTTGGGGCACAGTGCCACCGAAGGCCAGGCATCCCCCGAGTCCCTGCTGCCCCAGGAAGCCTCCTTCCCAGCAGGATGATCCTGCTGCGGAATAGTGAGGCTGAAGGAAGGAGGAGCGTGGAGGGCCAGCAGGAGTGCGCAGCCCCCCAGGAGCCCCTGAGCTGATCCGCCACCGTCTGCTCCTGCCCTGCAATCCCCTCGACGCTGCTAATCACCTTAGGGGCTTGGCTCTAAGCCTATTGCCCTGTCATCTGCTCAGCCCTGCCTGGCAGCTCCCAGCTGGGAAATGGCCGCTTTGGGCTGGAGAAGCCCCTCCGGCAGGGGTGCAGTGGGGGAAACTGAGGAACGGAGCCAGGTTTCGCTCAGGAGCGGCTTGCTTTCTGGGCAGCAACCAGCCCCGACCAGGAGCTATTTCCAGCCTTTGCGGGAAGGGCTTTGCAGAGGGGCTCTGTAAATGGACAGAAAGGGAACAATTTCCCGTTAAAGTCTTCGGAAGATGCTGCAGCAGCAGTTGGGCTCTGGGTGAGCAGAGGGACGCAGGTCAGCTCCGTCCCTCCGGCAGCCGCTCTGTCAACACCAGAGCTGGTTTTCTGAGGCGAAGGGCGAGCAGAAACTAAAGCAGAAATGAGCAGAAACTGAACAGAAAGTATTCTCACTGAAATTCGTACTTGGGATGGGAATATATTCCCTGCCGCGTCCACCTCCTCAAGGGAGAAACCCCAGCGCATTACCTGCCCTGCGCCGACACATGAATTGCCCTGATTTCTCCCCTGGGGCGGAAAGACACACTAATTATTCGTCAGCAGTGCTGGTACCTCGTTGTTAATCGTTCACGTTTCAGGGTAGTTTCCCATCTACAATCACTCCCTTGTGTGCACCAGGGGAGAGGCCAGGCTTGGGCTCGGCGTTTCCCCATGGCGGCCGTTTCGGGGTGTCACGTGGCAGGATCCAGTGGTGATTTTGGTCTTGTGGCCAGCACTTGCCACGATATGGGGTGAAAAGCTGACGTTTGGGGTCCCCCTTGCAGAGCCCACAGACATGCTGCGGCCAGAGCGGGGGGAACAGCTTGGGCCCCTCCAGCAGTGGGGAACTGAGGCATGGTGCATCCCTGCGGAGCCGGCTGCAGCAGGTCCCAGTGGGACAGGGCTGTGCAGGCTCCTCTGGCCCCTTCCACCACTTGTGGGCAGAGGAGCAAAAACTCATTAAGGCTACAAAGGAAAAGCAGCACTTTGCAAGGTGGAAAACCTCCACTCAGAGCATGGGCTGAGCCGATTAATTAGCGCTTTTGTCCGCGGCTCAGTTCAACACACAGGGAACAATTTCCATTAAGGGGAGCTTCCCTCTGCCAGGCGCTCTTTCAGCTGCTGGCCCGGGGAGTGGAGCCATGGCAGAGGAGGGAAAGAAAAGGAGGGAGGAAGAAAACAGGAAGGGAATGAAAGGGAAGCGTTTGCCACGTTTCGCAGACCACACTGAGGAGGAAGGGAAGATGCTGCATGCTTGAAGCACCGCATTGCAGAGGCGAGGGTGTTTTTATTCAGCGCATCAGCTGTGCTTTCTCGTTCCCCTTCCAGCTAAATTTGGCCCCCAAGAGGTGAAAGCAAGGAGGGCTCCCGCGGGCCAGGGTTTCTGCACAGGCAGAGCTGCTCGTGTGGCGGCATGCTTGGCCCAGGGACACGTGGCCGCTTCCCCAGCTCCGACGCCTTCCCGGGGCCCTTCCTGACCTAGGGGCCGGGAAAATGGCCAGTGCATCTGACCCGCTCCTGCTCGGGCATCCCCCACGACCACCGCCGGGCCAGCTGGGAGCTGCTGGGAGTGGCGAAGGTGACGGCCGATGCACGCCAGGGAGCAGGCTCCCGCAAACTTGCACCACCCTTGCATGGGGCTTTCACCCCCAGGTCCAAGCCACCACCCTTCCCCTTTGCAAACAGCAAAAGCAAACGCAGGGATCTGGGTGCCTCCTGTTCGAATCCGCTTTCCGCAGGCCAAGCAATGAAACAGGCTGGTTGTGCAGCCCCTTCCCACCCCGTCCAGCATCCGCTTCAGTTCTTAACTGAGAGATTGGAGGCAAAATATCCTGCCAGCCCCGGAGCTCGGCTCTGCCCAAGAGGTGGCAGCATGCACCCACGCTCCGTCCCGGCCGGAGCTGTGCTGCCAGGGCCAGGGCCCGGCTTGGGCCTGGGTCTCCCCACCATAATGTCCTCCAGATCCCTCTAGTGCTGCACCCACCCCTGCACCAAGCACACGGCAGTGTCTGGGCTCAGTGCGGGACTTCTCTCCGGTGGGAACGTCATCGGTTGCGTGTTCATGGCCCCGAATCTGGCGCGAGATAATAATTGAACGTCTCATAAAAAATTATGTAGTTTATAATAAGTGAATTATTTACTGGTGACCCTGACTAAATGCTGCGTGGTATAAATTATTGAGTGGTAGATCCGTCAAAAAGTTCTCATAAATAAGTTATCTGGTGCCGTCTTAATGTTCCCAGTAAATTACTCATTCAATCTCCCATCTAAATGCTCTCCTGGGGAAATTACTCGCTCCTGCTGATTTATGAATTAGGACTGGGCAAATAAGGATGATTAGGAAGGGGAGCCCTGTTGGGACGCTGCTTCGGCGGGACGCCTCGCCCTGACACGCGGACGCCAGCACAGGGTGCTCACCTGCCAGCCAGGGGCCATGGGCAGGTTGTGCGGCAACCCCCAGCCCGGGGGGGACAAGTCCGGGTCCCGCCACTATTTCCCTTTGCTGGAGGGACTCAGAGTGGCTCGCTGCGGCGGGATGGCGTTTACCTCCTGGCCGCCCTCTGTGGCCACCCCGGGTGGCTGTGGGCTTGTCACCTGTGTTTTATTGGCGGCCAAGTATTGCACGCTGCACTAGTTGTGTGTTTTATTGCCTCTATAATCACCACCCTGCAAACAGGCGTTGCCAGCTCCCCACCAAGTTAAATCCTCCCTTCCGAGGACTCCTGCAATTTGGCACCGTCCTGTGTTTCACCGGAGACATGTTACCAGCACTGTGACTCACCCGGGGACCAGGGCGGCTCTCGCCAGCCCGATTTCTTCCCCCTCGCAGACCCGCTGGGGACAAAGGGAGGGTAACTCAGGGCAGGGGGAGCACCGGACCCGCAGCTGGCAGCTCCCTAGCGCCACCACTGCAGCCGCTTCCAGTGAATCTCTTTCCTCTTTCTCTTTTCCAGGAGCAGAGCTGATTAAAATAATACATTAACTATGCCTCAAACTCGCGGAATAACATGATGAAAAAGCGTGTTCCCCGTGATGAGATGCTGCCTGCAAAGGAGGCAATTAAATCAATCTTGGAGGCCAGCGAGTTTGCAGGGGGAAGAGAGGTAAACTCGCGTGAGCCAGCGCGGGCTTAATGGGAGGAGATCAGGACGGCTTAAGGGACGTTCAGCCGAGTTGTCTTGTGGGCAGCTCAGCGCAGTTGGGGCACCCAGCAGGGCCAGGC